ATCTATAGAGACATCTATATATCTCTATATCAGTCATGGCCAAAAATAATGGCACCCCTGCACTTCTGTCAGATAATGCACCGTTTTGCACAGAAAATTGTTGAAATTACAAATGTTTAGGTATTCTCATGTTTATTTATTTTGTATTGGTGTGACACACAAGTGGAGGGGGAAAAAAAGCCAAATCTGACACTTTTAACCTTATCTTTGTTTTTGAACTGCCCTGTCATTGGTATGTCTGTTTTTGCTAAACATTTGTACTGTACCTTTATCACATGGGGTCATTGCTGCTCAAATAGTTTTCTGTCTTAACTTCACTGCTATAATATGTGCAGCTCTTCATAGCACACTAAACTCCGCAGTTAAAATGTAATAAATACATTCAAGTACCTTAACTTATAACAATGTATCTTATTTGTGTATCATTCGGCTGTAGATCCTCAAATCATCTCTGAATTGGTGCTGACACTGTCCTTCCTTTTGGAGGGGGGCTACTTTTGTTCCCCATGATCTCTGTGTGTGTTGTAAAGTGACCACCGCTCCAAGCTCACTCCCGTGATGGACTACAATCTCGCTAAAGATTAGTCAACTATACATGAGATTGTAGTCCATCACTGGAGTGAGCTTGGAGCGGTGACTACTTTACAAGACGCACAGGGACCATGGGGAACAAAAGTAGCCATCCTCCAGAAGGAAGGACAGTGTCAGCACCAATTCAGAGATGATTTGAGGAACTACAGCCAAGTGATACACAAATAAGATACATTTTTTTGTTCATAGTTAAAGGAGAACTATGGGTTTAGGGCTTTTCCCCATAGTTCTCCTTAGGGTAACGGGAGGACACAAACTAGCGTCCTCCCGTCACCCTAAGCTCATTATGCCGCGAGCTACTGCTCGCGGTATACTGAGACGCCGCAGCTGAATCGGATCCCGACAATTATGTCTGGATCCGCTCAGCTGCATGAGTGACAGCTGGCTCTGCCTATCTAGAGGCAGAGCCAGCTGTACCCGCCCCCTCCCCCGTCCGTTCCGCCAGTCAGCGCTGGAGGAGCGGGGAGGGGGGAATCCAGCCCCTCCCCTGTCACGGCAGAGAGCCGTGACAGGATCGAGAAGTGAGCGAATGCCGGTATGTGTTCGCTCACTTCCCGATCTACTGAGCCGACCTGTGACAGTCTCATTGTCACAGGTCGGCTAGAACTATGAGGTGAGTGAAAAGCACTCACCTCATAGTTCTCCTTTTAAGTTACTTGAATGTATTTTTAAGATTTCACTCTGGAGTTTAGTGTCACTTTAACTTCTGTACCAACTGGCATGTCTGTTAATATGAGGACAGTGCATCACATGCTGTCTCAAATAACCTGCATCAGGACAGTGTAGCAGAGTCTTCTATAATTATCATCAGGATGGCATGCCATAGGCTGTACCCCCTCTAACCATCACCATGACCTGCCCCTAAAACTAGCATCAGTATCCGGACCGTGCACCATAGTCTATCTCCTGTAACCAGCATCCATGTTGGAGCCATGCACCGTAGTCTGTCCCCTGTAAAATAGCATCTGTGTTGGAACCATGCCCCATACTCTATCCCCTAAAACCAGCATCAGTATTGGGACAGTGCACCATAGTCTGTCCCCTATTGCTGTAAACATGCTCTGTAATTAACATACATCTGTATTGGGACAGCAGGCTATGGTCTGTCCCCTATAACCAGCTTCTGCATCATGACAGCGCACCACAGTCTGGTCCCTGTAACCTGCATCTGTATTGGGACAGCAGGCCATGGTCTGTCCCCTATAACCAGCTTCTGCATCATGACAGCGCACCACAGTCTGGTCCCTGTAACCTGCATCTGTATTGGGACAACAGACCATGCTCTGTCCCCTATAACCAGCTTCTGCATCATGACAGCGCACCACAGTCTGGTCCCTGTAACCTGCATCTGTATTGGGACAACAGACCATGCTCTGTCCCCTATACCCAGCACCGGTATTGGGACTCTAGCCATATTCTGGCCTTTTGTTACCAGCATCTGTATCGGGACATTGTATACATCATATTAGATTTTTTTTTTTTTTTCATTTTTTAGACCAAACCTTATGTCTTTGACCGCGTATTCCAGTCAAACGCAAGTCAAGAACAAGTCTACAATGCCTGTGCTAAAGCGATTGTTAAAGGTAAGAATAGTTTTGCTCACTTAGTTCTTTAAAGGTAATAAAGGTGTGATTTTATTATAAGAGTTGAATCTCCCAAATGCCCCATGCCACAACTGCAGAAGTATATCATTGTGGGTACAGGTCCTCATCTTTGTTTGTTTTTTTTCTTTCATGTGTAATTGATTGTTTTGATGTGATGGGTCTGTGGATCCCCTTTTTTTTTAAATATTACTTTTCTTGAAATTGGTGTGGGGATCCTAAAACTTGAGAGCACTGCCGTCATTTAAAGCAAATCCGCCCTTTTTTTTTTTTTTTTTTTTCTAAAGGTTCGTAATGGGCATCCTTGAAATGCATTTTTAATTTCTGCCTGTCCCACCGAAAGCCACTGCTGATAATCTTCAAAAAAAGATCTTCAGCATTCAGCACACCTCTGAAGCCCAGTATACATGGTTTTATTATTTTTTTTCGTTCAACCTGCGGGCTGAATGAAACAAATAAAACCAATTTCTCCATCAACGCTTACCAGCATTGATGGGCAAATCCCCTGCTGTTTCATGTGTTATCTGAGAGCAGCCAGTAGCTGAGCAGAAAAATCTTGGCCGAACAGAGCTAGCAGCCAATCGGCTCCTTTGATCAGCTGATCGAGGGATGCCGGGCAGAAGGGTGCCAACAGTGGCAACCAAGCAACGAATTTTGGTCGGTTCATCAAGAAGTGGCCGAAATTCCAAGCATGTATACCTGGTTTAAGTACGTCAGATGCCTTGTCCCCTGCTGCACGTTGTACTTTCCATCAGCCCTGAAGTCACTGCTTTGAGGAAAAACCAGAGTGCAGGTATCCAACTCTCCCAAAAGTGTTGAATATCTTTCAGCCATATTCTTATTTGGACACATTAGAGTTCAGTGGCACAAGCAGCAGGACAGGTGAGTGACAATTGCTTGCTTTGCAGGGATTGCCTACTTCTACCTTTTTTTTTAAATGACAACCATTGTTTTAAAACAGTCGTAAAGTCAGAAAACTAAAAAAAAAATTGCTGGGGGGTGGGGGTGGTATGATTTATGGCAGGAGAGACATGCATGGGGGGAAGGATTTATGGCAGGGGGGACATGCATGGGGGGAAGGATTTATGGCAGGGGGGACATGCATGGGGGGAAGGATTTATGGCAGGGGGGACATGCATGGGGGGAAGGATTTATGGCAGGGGGGACATGCATGGGGGGAAGGATTTATGGCAGGGGGGACATGCATGGGGGGAAGGATTTATGGCAGGGGGGACATGCATGGGGGGAAGGATTTATGGCAGGGGGGACATGCATGGGGGGAAGGATTTATGGCAGGGGGGACATGCATGGGGGGAAGGATTTATGGCAGGGGGGACATGCATGGGGGGAAGGATTTATGGCAGGGGGGACATGCATGGGGGGAAGGATTTATGGCAGGGGGGACATGCATGGGGGGAAGGATTTATGGCAGGGGGGACATGCATGGGGGGAAGGATTTATGGCAGGGGGGACATGCATGGGGGGAAGGATTTATGGCAGGGGGGACATGCATGGGGGGAAGGATTTATGGCAGGGGGGACATGCATGGGGGGTAGGATTTATGGTAGAAAAGACATGCAAAGTCTCTTCTGCTGGGAAAAAAAAAAATTCTTCCTCTCTCTTTCCCCGTAAATATGTTTATATTTTCTTTGTTCACTGTATGGCACATGCACTATATACACACAGCCCATTCACAGCCTCTTGAAGATTCCGTGAATGGGTCTGATGCTGGGGAGGATGTAATCCCTGTGTGCATAATCGGTGGCCGCCCAATGCCCAAAGAGGATGCCTGGAAACCCATGTTGGTGGCGGAGGACCGAAAATCTATCTTACGGTGCTGAAGGGCCCAGTTGTAAGCAGGGGTGTGGAATTCCTATCGCCCAACGCCCGGGACATGCAGTTTCGGGCGCCGGGCGAGTAGTTTTTTTGTACACTTAGCCCCGCTCCGGACAAGCAGAGCCAAGTGTACAGTGTGGAGCCGCCGCTCGTTTTCAAGTGATCTGATCACTTGTATGAAACGAGAGGCGGCGATTCTGTCCACACCGCCCCTCCTCCCCCCCCCCCCCCCCCCGTGGTTTTCGGGGTCCCCGCTCCTCTAGCGGACCCGAAACCACGGAACATGAGCTCACCATAGAGCAGACGAAAAACGGAGGTTTTTCGTCTGCTCTGTGTTATCACTGAGACAGGGTGCGCTGTGATCACAGCGCCACCTGTCTCAGCTGTCAGGAACTACACAGAACATCAGTTCTGTGTTGGAGGGCAGGTTCCATAAAAAGAACCTGTCACCTCCAAACTATCACTTAGAGGATTTTAAATCCCTATGTGATAGGAATAAAATTAGGTGGGGGGGA